CTTGTCCTTTAGAGTTGCAAGATACTCCTTGCAGTTTCTCTTCCAATGCCCTTTCTTATTACAGTGAAAACATTCATCATCATATACTGACTGCAAGATCAAATCTTCAGAAAGCTCTTCACCAAGCTTGTACCCCAACTTCTCATGTTCTTCTGTAAGAACAATCATATAATTGACAAGGGGTCCAACTGGAGAGTTTTCAATGTCCAATTGTGTATCAACCATCTTCTTAAGATATTTAATGATTGCAATTGGATCAATATTCTGATGTTTCCTCTGGAGTTTAGAACTCATAGAAGCGAGAATGATGTGTTTAATAGCAAGGCATTCTTCCAAGTATTTCTGATAAACCTTGGTGTCTTGAACATCATTCTCTGGTGGGATTATATTTGCAGGCTTATCGATCACATCAATGAGCTTTTCATGCATGAGAACAATTCTCAAATTTCTATATCAGTCATCAAAGTTCGGTCCTACCAACTTGTTGGTCTCAAGTATTTCGCGCAGTGATATAACAGACATATTGAGAAATCTAAAATATAGAAAAGAAAAGGCAATAATATAAGAACATATTTGCATATATCATAAAGACATGGACTTTTATCTAAATGATATTTCCACTAATTATTTTAGACTACCCTCATTATAGTTTACGAAATCTTTATTTCTATTAATGGAGTAAAGGAATCCTTTAACAATATGTATGAGCCCCTTGGAAGTCAAGTCGTTTCTCACATATATTTTAAAGGTAGGTACTCTTACCAATTGTATCCCCATACAATTTCCTTAAATAGCTCTATGTCAAATAGTCTCCTGGTAGTCAGGTCGATCCTATTGGCATAGTTGAGTTCAACCATCATGATAGCAAAGAACTTATTAAATTTTATACTCCCCGGGTTGGTCCAGGCGTCTAGTGTAAAATTGAATAATTCTTTCAATCCATACATCTAATGCAATAAATAATTTTAACATATTCTCGAACTATAAGTCTCCTGGTAGTCAGGCCGCTCCTTATAAACAAGAAATAAGTACAATTATTACCTTGATGGATAGCTCTATAATAAAATATCTTATATTTTATTATTTAAGAACCCAAATTTTAGTAAGAGAGAATTGTTACTAAAACAACTTTTAATAACATGAAGATCAAATCTTTTACAGCATGCGAATTTAGTTCAAGTTGTCTACATGCTTAGTCATGGATTGATTTACATCACATGTAATAAATAATTCAAAATTATGTAACGAACAAGCATGTGACATAAAAACGAAATTCAACATCTTCTAACATGTTTATCTTATATATAACATAAAAATAATTCATGCCAGAAAACTATTATTAATTAACATCTCATGAACTAATAACAATTAAAAATAACAATAGAATCATGTAACCTATTATAGATTCCCGTCGTATCTAATACAAAATTTCAAATTCAAGTTTTGAACTAGCTCAATAGTTATATGAATACATATTTTATCCACAATAAAATAATATCAACATTCAAACGATTTGACTATTGCACAATACACATGTATTATGATTTGAACTCTTCAAATATAATATTAAAATATTTCTTAAATAAATTTTAGACACAATAAACCACGACTCTGATACCAATGAAGGATTGCGTATAGGTGTTCGTAACATGCAGCGGAAGACAATAACAATCCTAGAAAGATCTTTTCGTGTTTAAAATTTATTTACGTGTCAAAGATCGGATCTAAGACGTACCTGGTGAAGAAAGTCTCGTTTCAAATTCTTCGATAGTGCGAAGACTCTATGCGTATCCACACCGAGACCGATCCTTGCTATCAACTCTTTGATCAATGAAACCCGTGAACAAAATTGAACGAATTATTGTGTTGAAATTTTTCTCAAAAATCTCAACTCAATGTTATAAGAAGAACAAGAAACACTTTTCTTGTAATTGTATTTTCTCTCTTGGCTTGTGTTGCACTCTCACTTTCACAAAATGATTTTTCTTTTCAATAATTAATGTGGCAAATTTTCTTCCATCACCCTTTATATCACATCACCTATAAACTCTTTTCCTGTTTGGTTAAGGTAATAATTTAATTTGGGTAAAAATTTATTCCAAAAATAAACTTGATGGAATTTTCTATAAAAATTCGAATCCCATTCTCAAAGGGATTGAAGTGCCGAACGCTACTTAGTCCAATTGGACTTTCACATCTTTACAATTCCAATTCCATATTGGAGAATAAATTAAAATTATATATAACATTTATATAAATTAATAATAACTTATATTATATATATCACATATATATTTCAACTAAGAGAAATAATTTAATTTTTCTATTCCAAATAGAAAACTTTAATTTGTTCACAATATTAATTATATTCTATGTGCTAGCAAAGAATATAATAATATCTCATTTTGACTAATAACTGAATCTATTTGACTAATTAAATTTCTTAATTTAATTAACAAATAATAAATTAATTAATCCTTTAGTAAAGATCAGAACACTCGTTAGTGTGTGACCCTATAGGTTCAATACTAAACCGGTAGTAAATTAACCACATCAATATACTAATCAAGGGTGACGTCTAGCAACACTCCTTAACGACCGAATAGCATGAAGTATACAATTTACTCTCAAGAACCAGTAGAAGAATAATGTAGTAATTCCTTCTGTCCTTATAGCTCTGGATCACCCTAGGATATGGTTCAACTGTCAAATCCTAATAGGCGACCAACTATGTGTTCATGTCAAGTATAATCGACCATTGAATGACCTAAGAAACTCTTTTCTTCTTTCATTCAATTGCCCTGGCCAAGGTCTTAATTTGGTCGTTTATAATTCATGACAACATGGAGCTTAAACTCATTACCAAGAGTTGACAGATTCCATCTTGATCAATCACTAATTCTATAAGTATTTAATCGTGCCCAATATCCTTTCAACTATCGCTCTAGGGCCATAGGTGTCTGGTATCAAAGCACAATAAATAACTTGTCAATTACTATGACGATCTCAGGTCAAAGGAAATTATTACATCACATTCTTCAAGAGAATATCCTATTGATAGTTTATGGTAATTCTAACCATTAGGAATTATCTAATGAGTCGGTTCAATAATCATATCTCTATATGCATCATCTATTTATGTGATTTAGTTAATGAGATCAACTAATCTTTATCCCATAAAGACGATCACATAAATATTGATCTAACCGGATTACTAATGTCCAAATTAATAATTCTACGATCAAGAACAAATTTAGATTAAATTGTAAGAGACTTTGCTCTCATTATCATGATCTCTATCACGATGACAAGCCTCAAAATTTAATCAAGGACCTTATCAAATTAATCAAACAATTAATAATAACTATGATAAAAGAATGCCATATATTTTTATATCGAATAACCTTCACAAAAATATGTTCAAATCATCAAATATGAGATTGGATCTAGGGCATATCTACTATATCCCTAACAGTTGAAGCATGAGAGATAGGGTCCCCACCCCAATCAGCGTCAGTATATGCAACAAGCTTTGTTGAAGTTGACGGTCGAAGATGTAAGCCATAGGTAATAGTATGTTTGAGATGCCGAAGAAGACGCTTTGCTGCTTGCCAGTGTTTCATGGACGGGCAGTGCATGAACTGAACTAAACGATTGATAGCAAATGAGATATCTAGCAGAGTGTTGTGATATACTGTAGAGCACCAACAACTTGACAGTATTCTTTTGCGTTAGCAGTAGGAGAACCATCATTGAGAGTGAGGGGTTCTGTGGTGGACATTGGGGTGGCAACACCTTTAGCTTCAAGCATGTTGAAGCGACTGAGAACATCAACAATCAACTTACTTTGAGTGAGAAGTAGGCCATCATTGAACGAAATAACTTCAATATTCAGGAAGAAGTGGAGATGCCCAAGGTCCTTGAGAGAGAATCTGCTTCCCAGTGAATTCACAACTGAGCGAATGTGATCTTTTGAAGAACCAGTGACAATGATGTCGTCAACGTAAATTAGCACAAAGATCAGAATAGTAGAAGATTGACAAAATGAACAGAGAAGTGTCGGAGTACGCCTTGTCATGACCCATTTTCTGAAAAGACCGGCACCCGATTACTAAACATGACCGAGCGAACCATCTGCGCTTATCAAATCTATTATAACTTCAAACTTTATATGCAACAAGGCAATACTTTAACCAAATACTTTTAGTTAATTTAAATATCTAAAACAAACCAACTCCAAAACTTTATTCGTAGTAACCACTGAAATACTGCTAAGTTATTATAAAAAAATATCTGAATCTTAACCCGACGACTATGTCTATGAAGCCTCTACCAATAAATTGACGCACTGCTCAGCACATGAGATTTCCTGGCCAGTTCTCTAAGTAAACAAAGAAATAGCTAAGTAAATATGACTCTAAGTAATACTCCACGAATAAAAGCGGAGCTCACCAATAGCACTGGAAGATAGGGAACACTACTAGAATTCCGGAAAAAAGCGACCAAACTTTAGCGACCAAAGTTGGTCTGTCAAGAAAAGCGACCAAAGTTGGTCGCTAAATTGGCGAAAATAATAAAATAATTATTTGATAAACATTAGCGACCAAGGTTGATCGCTACTTGGTCGCTAATTTTGTCCAAATATTGACCGGACTGGTCAGACTTACTTGGTCAAAGGTATACTGAGATTAGCGACCAACGTTGGTCGCTACAAGGGGACCCACTTATA